GGTGTCGTGGGTTCGAGGGCAGGCAGCAGGGGGGCGGCCGTGGGTCCAGTGCCGCGCTGGATGCTTCCTCCCAGCACACGGCCTCGGGGTCCTCCCTCCTGGGGGCTCTTGTAAATGGAAACTGCGATGTGTATCAGCGCCCATCTCTTTCCTTCCATCGTCGGCTTCAGGGATTATTTTCCACCATGACAGCGCATCGCCTTCCCCCTGTGGTTAAGCTGCAGCACCACTCTCGTACGTGTTATGTTGCTATACTGTGTTTTGCGGTGTTCAGAAGTAGAGTAACAAAAACCAAGGGTGTTTGTTTGAATGTAATAATGTAAAACTTCTCGTGGTCATCAAAAGAACAAAACACACACACAGACAAACAGCAAACCAGCCAAACAGCCCCGTGCAGCGCTCAGCCTGCCCCGTCCTGGTTGCAGTCCCTGGACAGACGGACGGATGCTGGGGCTGCAGTGGGCAGGGGCAGGCAGGGCACAGAGCTCCTGCCCCAGGAGCCCCCTTTTCCCCCCTTCTTTGCCAGCAGGACCCCAGCCCATGGCCCTCAGCCCCCCCTGCCTTTAGAAACCCCTTGGGCACAGGGAGCCCAGCACACCACTGGCTGCCCTTGCAGGTGCCCCACAGTGAGATCCCCAATGCAGATCCTGTCAAGGGGACAGCACACCTCAAGCCTGGCTCTTTAACCTGACCAAGGGTGTTATCGATTGCCTAAAATCCCCTCCTTGCTTTATCTGCAACCTTCGGTTTTCACAGCTCGATGCTGGGATGCTGGGAACACAGCACAGGGCTTTTCTTTGTCCGTAGACAAAAGCCAGGGAAGAAAAGTCAGACTTTCTGCTGCTCCATCTTCTCCTTTCCCAGAGCCAGGGCGAGCGTACAGGAGAGATTTCCAAAGACATGGGGTGTTTAATTCAGCAGCCCAAGGACTGAACCCCGCCCGCCCAGCAACCAACACGCTTTTCCTGAGGTCACCCAGCATCCAGGGTTGGTTTGGGGGTCTTGGGGGTGTGTAACAAGCTACACGTGGAGCATCGCGTGTTGTGGCTGCTCACCACTGTCCTCGCACCTCCGGTTGGGAAGGGGCTGCACTGAGCTTGGTGGCCTTGTCACGGCCCTGGGGACACTTGAATCCATGGCTGGATGGGAGGGAACGCGGCCTCGCTCCCCTCCGATTTCTCTACAGATTTTTTTTTTTCAGATTGCAAGATAAGGCAGAGATTTCAAATACATCCGAGAGATTTTTTTACACCTGTCTTGTTACAGAATATCTGAAGTGCATGATTTCTACACGCATTGAGTACCTGGAACCAGACCCTGAGGAAGCAGGCTGGCTTGGTAACTGTCCTGCAGTTTGGTAACATTCATACAGTGGATAAGCAAAGATTATCAATAAACAGTTGTGCTGAAAACAGAACGGGCTCTGCCTGCTCCTGTAACTGCCCCAGGGGGAAGGAAAGCACTGAGGGTTGGGTCTTGTGGCTGCGGCAGGGGGGGAAATGTGCTGGAAAAGCAGAGCAACAGCTGCTCCCCCCGTGCTGCAGCAGGGCCCCTGGCCGTCCGAGAGCCTTCAAACAAACCACGTCGGGAAATGCTCCCAGCTGCCTGCGCTGACGTAGAAGCAGCGCTGGGACGGAGGGTGCTGGGCTGCCACTCACTTCCTGCCTAAAAGTGCCCAAAAGCCAGCGCCTGATGTCACTCTGAGCACAGAGCCAGCTTGGAAACGCAAGAAATGGCTCCACATGAGCCCCTCGGCCCTGGTTCACAGCACTCAGGACACAGCCAGTGCAGCAGCTGCTCCTCATTGCATTCTACTTAAATGGAGCCATTTCTTCAATCCTCTCTACAGCGCAACCATTAAGACAAGAGCCTGGAGCTCTTTGCCATGCTTGTACCCCAAGATCACTTTCCTCTTAATGATCATAGGACAGAAAGAGGTCTCGGTGGCCAGATGCGGCTCAAGAAGCAAGAGGGAGAGCAGCCACCCCAGCTGTTCGCTGCTGACAGA